ATATTATAATATCGACTGAGATAAATAATAAAATGAAATATTAAAATCATGATGTATCTCGCTGCATTGCGCGAGTACGCTTCTAGTTATTCTAAAAATTATCCTCATGGTTATTATTTTATTTTAAGAATGGTTCTTAATCACTAAATCTTTTAGAATGAATAGCAATTCTGTCTTTTTTTTCCTTTCAATTTTTGTCTTTTATTCTTTTTAAAAACAATTTATATTTTTATAAGAACTATCAAACTCTAGTTACTAACTCTGTAATTAACAGATTATATATACATTGAAATCATCAAAAGGATAAAAATATACATAATGTATTAATAAAATAGTCAACTTCTATCAAAATTGTCAAAATGGCCACACGGTTTGCCTCCGGGGGGCATGGTTTGACCATGGGGGCGATCCATACTACTTTGATCGAATAGTACAAAAAATATAATAAAAAATTAATTTGGTGAGACTCACATGTATCTAATTTATGAAACCAAGCCTTGTTTGTCCCGATAATGGGGATCGCCCCCCACCTCACAGGATCTACCCCCGGGGGTGATCCATGCATTTTTTTTACCACTATTTTGTTTTTTACTGTATATCCATTAAGATGTGTTTCTAATAAATAGGAGACGATTTAAACTGTTTTTTTATCTTTTTAGGACCAAATATCATGGTTTTAGTTTATAAAATAAAACACTTCTACTATCACATCCCGTAAATACAATCTACCGTGACAATCCTTAAAAAATATGATTGTACGTGAAAATTTCTAATTTTTACCACTTTTTTAAATTGCATAAATTAACCAATGAATGTTGTTATATTTTCTTATAAGAAATATTTTTTTTACCACACTAAATGTTGATATTCTATAATAATTATGGACACGAAAAAAATTATTTGTATCTGATTTGGGAGACAAAAATCAGATATTATATCTGATTTATGTAGTTTGACAGTTATTTTGACTTGTAGTGTCTAAATCGATTTGACAATTGAGGGGTTTTTTTAATAAATAGGGGACGATTTATAGTGGTTTTTTTAATTGTTTTAGGACCAAATGTCATGGTTTTACTCTATAAAATAAAATATTTCTACTCTCACAACCCGCAACGCATAAACACAATCTACCGTCACAACCCGCAACGCATAAACACAATCTATCGTCACAACCCTTAAAACAATATGGAAGTACGTGAACATTTAATAATTTTACCAATTTTTTTGAAACGCATAAATTAACCAACGTATGTTCTTATATTTTCTTATAAAAAATATATTTTTTATAAACACCGAATGTTGATGTTCTATAAATAACTGTGGACAAGAAAAAAAATTATTTCTATCTGATTTGAGGGACAAAAATCAGATATTGTATCTGATTTGAGGGACAAAAATCAGATATTATATCTGATTTACATAGTTTGACCGTTATTTCGTCTTCTAGTGTCTAAATCGATTTGACAATTAAAGGGTGTTTTTAATAAATATGTGACGATTTAGAAATGATTTTTTAACTGTTTTAGGACCAAATGTCATGGTTTTACTCTATAAAATAAAACATTTGTGTTGATCCTCTATGTCAATGATTTGATGATAATCTCTTTTACCTTTTACAAAGTATTATGTTTCTGTTCTTTCGGTTCCAGCGATCATCACTGAGTCTATTTCGTGATCGTTGAAACATGTATTATATATCCTACAACGAAAGCGATACTTCAAGAAGACAAAACTCACACCAAAGAACCTTCAGTGAAAGTTGAAGACTGAAACTGAAGATTAGTGACTGGCGCGTTTATGATCTGAAGTAGCATTCAGTGATTACAACCTGGTCAACATATGTGTGAATACTGCCCAAGCCTCAACGAATGCTGAAGAGACCTTTAGTGTTATTCTAGTATTCAGTGATCAAATGAAGCTTGTTGTGCAAGATTGTTTTTGTCTTGTCCTTCCACACACAAAGGACAAACCCATACTATTTCTAGAGTATAGTACGGTACGGAGCCGACTAATTGACTCTATTACCCACTAACTCCGCGAAAGGATGTTTGCTCATGAATAGGCTTTTGTACTATTCAATGTAGCAAAGGGCAATATTTTCTTTAAAAGTTTGATGTGTGTTCAAGCCCTACTGAATTACATTAAATGTGCATTTAATGCAATAGGTATAAATAGATGAGTGTTCTTTCCATGCAAAGATACTACATGAAAACACACACACATCTAAAAGAACACTTACACTTATCTTCAAGGAAGTTACAATCTCTCTCAAGTATTCTAAAAGTTCTTACCCATGAAGAACTTATTTCCTTCTTTATCTTTCAGCAAATCTTTTCTCTTTGCTAAGAATATATGTGTGTAAACTTAGATTGTGTTAGATAGGTTATTTTTACCTTGTCTATTTCCACATACAATCTGTAAAAAAATGTATTGATCTTTCTTTATCAATATATATTTTTAAATTTAAAAATTTTCTGTGTTTGTATTCATCCCTCCCCTTTCTACAAACTGTTTCTTTAAAACTCTTGTAGACCCAACCAGGACCAACAAGTGGTATCATAGCAGTGTTTTCTTCTCTTCTTGTTTTAGTTTCTTTTCTGCATTTTATTATCTCTCTTTCTCTAGATAATTTATTGCTTTTAAAATGGCTTTGCAAAACACAAGCATAAACTTTCACGACAATGGCTCCCTTGCCAAACCTCCCCGGTTTATCAGAGACAACTTCAGTCTTTAGAAGAATCGGATGTCTCTCTTCTTGGAGGGTGTGAATCCTAAAATTCCACACTATATAAAAAATGGACCTTATGTTCCATATGTTATATCTCCAGCTGTTTCCGAAACAGCTA